TCTCTCGCAACTAGGGGCTTGGCCCCTCCTGGACTGACAAATATAGCAGCTTCAGCTAGGAGCTGAAGACAGACCAACTGTGGCGACAGAGAGAGAAACACATCCCTGCACAGTGAGCCCAGCAGGCTCCTCCTGAGATGGCAAACTGCAGCTGCTGCCTGAGCTGGAGGGTGCTGGAGGACGGCACAGCCAGCAGCCCTGTGCCCCAGAGAGACCGGCTGGGACGTCCCTAAGCATGGCAGAGTCTGCCAACACAATCCCACTGGTTTCAGCCTGGAAATGTCCCAGGCGCTTCCTTCTTCTCATCTAAGGGGGCCCCCTCCCTACCCCAAGTGCTTTGTGTGCAGGTGAAGTTCCCCAGTGAGAAGCTGGGACTTCTCCAAGATAGGGGATGAACATTAAGTAATTTGATAGAATATTTGAGAAACTTTTCCTATGAAAAATAGATACTTTAAACACACCTCTAAAACGCGCGCGCGCGCGCGCACGCACACACGCACACCCATTGTTTTTATGAGAACCAATTAATAAATGCTAATTCATTCAGGCATATCTCCACTAAATTACTGTTTCATTTAATTGCAGGGAATTTTCCATTACCAAACTCTCCCTTGCTGATTTTTTTTTTGCATTATTTATATATTTTCACTTTCACTAATAGTGAGGTCGGTATGCGATATTATCTGCTGTTTGTGCGTCTTAAATTTCTTTTTTATCTGGACTGTTTCCTCATTCTTGCAACCACACATAATCTGGGAGAGACATCATTAGGAGCAGACGAGATTTTACACACAAATGATTGGAAAGGGCACTGACTGAAATTAGCCTGACAGGAAGGCATCCTGTTCGACTGTGCCCTCATTTTAGACGTGCACGTGTGTGTGCGAGTGTGTCTCCACTCTGGGCTCATGTGGACATGTTTTCCTATGTCAGTGAGTCACAAAGCTATGAGTGAAAAGACTGTGGGGACACAACCAGGAGTGAAGCTCACAAGGGCTTTAACAATAAAATCAACAACACAGATCTCTTTATAAGCCCCCAGAGCTCAATGCGTTGTTTCCTGCCCCCGTTCCAGGGACGCAAATCAGGATTTTGACATCTAGACATCTGAGATCCAGACCAACAGACTTCCCAAGATTCTGCCTCTTTTTATGCCTAGAAAAGTGGGGGGTTCTAGTGGTGGTTAGGGGCTGCTTAGGGGCTATGGCAGGAATCGAGTTCAAAAGGATGTGTTCTGAATTAGTTTCGATTTTCTTATATTCAATGGCCAAGGTCCCCTGCACCTGGCTACCTTCGCTTCTGAAATGAGTTCTTTCCTTTTTCTTCTCCAGCCACCGTCTCCCTCTGCCCCTGCCACTGCCTCCTTTCTGTCTTTCTTTCTCTCTTTATTCTTTCCCTTTTTCTCTCTCTTTCACAGTTAACATCTGGAGGATGTGAATGATTAAACTGTTCTCTCTGAGGCTTAGGTATGAAAAGGCATGTCACCATAAGTAAAGTTTCACCTTTATACCCAACTCTATCAATAATTAGAGAACAAGGTTGACAATCAGTAAATCTTTCTTACCATTAGCTCTTACAAAAATGATGCCATTTCTTCTGATCATTCTGAGTTCTGTTTATTTTACTTTTCACAAAAACTAATTACAAAGCAGAGTAACCTCCCACATGAAGTCCGCACATAAAGGAATCGTGGGGTATTGTATGTATATTCATGGGAAACATATACCCATAAAGCGTGTACACCATTAAAATTTGAGATTTGAGGCCATCAATACAAAGTTTTCTCATACTCATATATTAGCAGATGCTATCCTTTGAAAGAAAATATCTTTTAGTAACTAAAATTCCATGAGATTGATTTTTTTGTGCTGTGTTCCTTCACTTCCTTTGTCCTCTTCAGCAAAATTAGGGAGTCCTTTTGGGTGTAGACAGATAAAATTAATTAACTCCCCTTCTACCCCAAAAAAGTCCCAAATAAGTGCTTCCAATAGACATCAAAAAAGTGTCAATTAGAAATAATTACTTCTTATCAATCAGTGGGGCAATTAAAGTGACAAAGCTTGAAAGGATACTTATCTTAAAACTAATTCACAAGGTAGCTAAATTATCTCCTAATTAACTTGCCTGGGTGGGGGGGAAGGTGGACGTTTTGAAACAAAGATGGATCTAGGAACCCCAGTACCTCTTTCTGTTCCTCCTGATGGTTTCCTGTCCCAGGAAGGACTTATTTTCAAAGCAGGGGAGAGACCTGGAAGAATAGACACGCTCCCCAAATGCATTTGGCCCCCTCCTTCTTTTCTAAATCCGCAGGAGGGCACCGGGCTTCACATCTCAGATCTCGGGAGTTAAAGGCACTCTCCTCCATGGTCTGAAGTCTGTTTTACCACTTGAATAACTGACTTTCAGGAGCTGGACGACAGTGTTACAGCAAGTTACTGCACAAACTTTTAATGACAACCTGCTTGCTTTTTTAAACTCTCTTCACTGAAAGCATATTGTGTATGTTTTAATATTTATGTGGAGTTTCTCATTCCTCATGCATCTTTGGCTATTTAAACAACGTTGTTACTTTAGAGGATCTTTGTTCCCCCGATGCTACAAAATTCCCACTGGGTTTTACGAAACCCAGTGTTAACCAGCCCGTTGCTAACCAGCACACACCAGAATGATTCGCTATTTGCTCTCCACATCCCTTCAGAATGAAGCTGTAAAAAAATATATATATTCAGACCTCTCTGCAAAGCAAGATCAGCCGAGGGTGAGCCAGCGGCTGAGGGCAGGGGCACACAGGACACTCCGGAGCCAGCGCCTCACTCCTTGGAAACGGTGCAACCCCCGGCTCCTGCGAAGGACCCAAAGGCCAGCGGCCTGAGTCTTGTCCTGCCCCAGAGGACACTCAGATGGGGGTCTCTAGGTGAAGCCCCTCAGAAATGAAAGTGCCAAGAAGCCACCAATGTCTAAGCGAGAAATGGGCTTACAAAGCCAGGAGAAGCCAGTTTATGAATTGAGCTGTAAATACCCTCAGCAGCGTCAATAAAGGAAGAGTTTGCCCACAGAGGACTTAGAAAAGGAGCAGGGCAGCCTTGAACCCCCTGAGCTGCATTTTAGGAAATTCTCTTCTGTGTTATTAGCATTAATTTAAAATGAAGGAGAAAATCTCATTCTCTCTTCCGCTCAGCCTCTTTTCTTTGTTTTGGAGAGAAGGAGAATCCCCTCTGGCTCCCAGGACTGAAAACGCCTGTGCCCTGGGCCGCTCCCCCCAAACCAAGGGCGGTTTGCATCTGAGTTCACGGGAAACCTCGCAACGCCTGGTCCTGTTGCTGATTAAAAATGAAGTAAAAATAAATTGCATCCTTTTTTTCTTTCCTTTTTAAATTCCCATTTATTATAAGGAGAGCTTCTAGAATGAAAGCGAGTAGTGGAAACAAAATCAAGTCAGCCCAAGGGGCCACGACTTCATCTTATTTGTTGAAGGGTCTAGTCCAACGCGGTAAATTCGGGGTCCGAGAGCACCCACTTCTACCACCGCCAGAAAAGTCAGGGGAAGGTCAGGGGGTAAACGACTGGCATCGGAGTGGAAGCGGCCAGACCACCCGGGCATGGGATCTGACAGCCCGGAGCGTTCGGCCTTGGAGGTCGTCCTGCCCCCGAGGCGGTACGATGCGCGGTATGGTACTAGATTTGGCTAAAGACTAACGGGCGAAAACCTAGTCCTCGTCTCAGAAAGTGGCTCAGCAGCGCGCGTGACGCTCGGGCGCTGCTGGGCAAGAGGTGCTGGGCAGCCCACTCGGTCCCCTGGCTCCGGAAAGAGCCGCGAGGTTTCCGCCCTGCGCCCGCAGAGGGACGGCAGTGAAGGAGCGAACTGCTGATTCGGTCTCCGCCATGGAGCAAACCGGAATGAGAAACCTTCCGGCGCCCGGGACTCCCCGCGCCCCTCCTGGTGGTGCCTCGGCCCCGGACCCGAGGCTGCGCACGAAGCTGGATCGCGGCGCTCTGGCTAAATAGAGATCTCAGCCGCGCGCCCCGCTGATCCGACCCTCCTTATTATAACAAATGTCCCGTTTGCCGAGCGGACTTCATATTCGCCGAGAATTCATCTGAAATATTGATTTCCTCTCACTTCGCCGGCCCAAATCGATAGCGCTGCGCCCTGGCCCCATAAATCGCCTTCCCCTCTGCCGGCCCGGCTCCATCCATCACCGCGCCCCAGCGGCGCCTCTGCCCGCTATCCACACATGCTGAGCACTGGGCGGTGATGCCCAGCGCGCCCACGGGTCTGACCCTGGGCTCCTTCCCGACACAGACTCCACCCCCACCCCGGCATGGGAAAGAGCAGGCGATGCGGCCAGGGACCCAAGCGCTTTTGAAGGCCTTGGGCCCAGGTGGTGGGGAGGGGGTTCGGCCCCGCAGGCAGCTCAGTCCTCGCAGGCCGGACGCCGCGCGCCGCTCCCCGGTTGCCCCGCGCTGGGCCAGAAGGAGTCCGAGCCCCCGAACGCACTCACGGTTTCCAGGCCCCGGATCACCGAAGGCTCCTTTCCCGCGGGCTTGAGAGTTGCGCAGGGCTCAGGATCCCGCCCGGAGAGCTACGGGCGAGAGCTGCGGGCACCCGGACCAGGGCTTAGAGGTCAGGCCAGGAGAGCTGTAAGTCCTGCAGGGCGCGGCCAACGGCCTGAGCGCGCAGGATGCCCACTCTTACGGGCCATGCAAGCTAGGGTGGGTGCGAGGGAGTCCTTTCTGACCCCAGCAAGAACTCCTCACCCCTCTGTGTGGTCTACAGAAACCAAGGCCTGGGAGAAGGCGGCTCCGCCAGGCCGAAGGGACCTCAGGGTCGGAGAGAGCGGCAGGGCAGCTTTGGCAGAGGCCAGGTCCAGGTGCCCCAGAGGCTACCCACGCAGGGGGTCGCGCGAGCCCAGAGCGCATTCCCCCAGACTCGCCGACCCGATCGCACGCACGGACGCATGGCGACGCGGGGCTCGGGGTCCGGCCACGCGCATCCTTACCGGATCTGATGGAGTTATGAGGCATCGCCAGCTCGCTCTTGGCCTGCCGGGAGCTCAGGGCGTCCTCACGCAGGTCCCCGCCGCTCCCACCGCGCCGCTGCCCTGCAGACCCGGGGGAAGGGGCATGAGATGCATGTCTGCCGCCTTAGCCCTCCTCCCAGGCCCTGTCCCCTTGGCTTTCTTCGCGCGGCAGGAATCAGAGGGTTTTAGGCGAAGTGTGGCCAACCTCAGCCTGGCCTAGCACACACATGTGGATCCGGCCAGGTCCAGGATTTGGGGTCCGCCGACGAAGCCCCAACTCCAGCCTGGTGGCCTCTTCCTCTGCCACCCCAGTCTCATTCAGTTTAACTTGGGAGGAAAAAGGCTTCCTGGGGCCCTTTCCCTTCTCTAATCACCCCTCTCCCGCAGTCATCTTGCAGCCAGCCCCTGGGCGGCATACCTGATCTGGGGCCGCAGGCCCTCACTGCCTGGGTCTTCTGCCAGGGTGCCCTGGGCCCACGTCTGTCCTCGGTCCCAAGTTTGTTCCCATCCACCCGGCATCGCGGACTGGTTTTATCCCGCCAGGGCCCTGAGACAAGGGTCTGGAGAGGCTCGCAGCCCGCGGATTGGCTGGCTGGGTGCAGGGGGTGCGGGAAGGGGAGGATTTTGCAAGGGGGACATGGCTGAGTGGACGCAGGAGTTAGAAGCATTCGCTGGAGCTTCGGTTTCCAGCGGAGAAAGGAGACGGAGGCAGCTGAGCCCTAACTCAGCAGGCCTGGAAATATTAAAGGAGTGGGAGGCAGAGGCCTGGGCCTGAGGATGAGGGTCCCTGGGTCCTCCCAGGGTCACTGAGAGACATGGCTGCTGTGCAACACCCTGTCCTCTTCTGTCCTGGTCTGCTCCTGGGCAAGCGGCCTTTTTTTTAATAAGAGGGACTTCTGTTTTTGTGCCTGGTTTCTAAGATAGAAGCTGCTCGTGGGGCTGGAAGCCCCACGTCCCACCTTGTCATCACTGGTGATGACCACCCTGAACAGCTCCTGAGCCCACCTCTCCTTACCCCCAGACAGGGTCCACACCTTCACATCGCTAGGCTGATGAAAACAGTGACATAACCCATGCCACAGAACTCGGCCAACACACACACAGCGCCAGTACTCTTGCTCCTTGAGGATTTTGAACTTGGTTAAAAAGAGTTCCGAGGACTGTCAGTGAGGGCCTAGATTTCACCTCAGTGTGGAAGAGTATTAGAAAGGCACTGGGCTGAGCTGACCATTAGCCTTGTCTGCAGGAGTCACAGCCTCATGGAGGTGGGGGCCTGGGGTGTGGGAAAGAGGGTCTCTTGTGTGGGCCTGAGGAGCCCTTAGTGGTGGCAAAAGCTGACCCTCCTACTCCATGGGACAGAAGTGGGATACAGGGAAGACTGTGTATGTGTGTGGGGGGCAAGGCCTGGGTGCTTCCCCAATTTCAGGCTCAGGGTTACAGCTGACAGGATGGTGGTGCTCCCTGGTCCAGAGGGACTGTGCTGCCTGGAGGGGCTGTTGTGCATTACAGAGGGCAGAGGTGCTGCAGTGAGAGGGAGTGAGGGGGCAGGGGAGACTAGGGTCATGGGGGAGGAGGGGTGTGTGCGTGAGTAAGTATGTGTGTGTGCACATGTGCATATGTGCATGCGTTTGTGCGTGTGTGTCTGTGTGACAATGCACACACTGAGTGAGAGGGAAGTGAAGGGGCAGGGGAGACTGAGGTCATTCAGGAGATGTGTGCCTGTGTGTGTGTGGGTGGGTGCGCCTGTGTGCATGCATGTGTGTCTGTGTAAGAATACACACATTTTTTAACTAAAAAAACTTATCTCTCAAGTTAATCCATCCCTCCTCTCATGCAGCTTCTCTTGTTTTTAAATTTAGCAGAAATTAATCATTTTGTGAAAAGAGAAAAGAATATGTATGTCACCAATGGATTCAATGTGTTTGCGAATGTCTCTAAACAAGAAACGTAGGTGCTTTATTATTGTAAATGTTTCTCCAAATCGTTATCTACAATTGCTCTGTGGCTTCCAGGTGTGCAGACACCCCACCTCTCTGGTCAGACTCCAGAGAAGCTCCTAGGGTGTTGAGATGGACGTGACCTCAGCAAAGGTGCCACCAGCTACTGGCAGCTGTCCCCCTGCTGCTGTAGGGGAGCTGTCAGGTGTGGGGGCCACAAAGAGGCTGCCCTCCAGGGACCCATGCCCCAGGGGGAGCCTGACAGCCCTCATCCCAGCAGCTCTGCAGACTTCAGAGGGGCCTCCCAAGGTGTGTGGGCGGTGCTGAAAGGTACCAGCAGCCATGGAACCCACACACCCATTCTCAGTGCTTTCCTCCGCTCAAAAACAAGCCCCCTCTCCCTCTCCATTTCTGGCAAAAGTTCTCAAAGGACAAAAAGGGCAAGTCATCAAAACATTCTTGTCCCATTTGTGAGCTTATTTTTAAAAAAGTCATTTTAATATGAAAACTATGTGCAAAAAACACCCCACACACCTTGAGGGCACCCCTTCCACAGACTGCAGGTGATACAGCAGATGGTCAGTTGGCTCTGCAGATAATTTCTGGAGCCCAGGGGCCACCAGGTAGAAGGGACGCAGTGAGCCTGGCTTCCAGCTCTGGCCTGCTCTCTGGCAACAGTGGGAAACAGGCCTGGGGTCCCTGCTTCTTTTCAACCAAGGTAATGAAAATGGTTATTAACAGCACCCCAAGTTCTTGGGGCCAGCTTCTTCTGCAAAATGAAGGGGTTGAAGTATATATTTATATATATTTATTTCAAAAATACCTTTTATCACATTTTTTCCTTCAACTTTAAAAAATCTATGAAAATCTTAGTTAAGCATAAAAAAACCTCAAGCCTTTCTTTGATGTTAATCAAAATTTCAAAATAAATGTATCATCATGACTCAGAGACTCTTAAGATCAGTGGGCAATTTAGAACGTACTTTCTAGAACCACTTTCTTCTCCAGCCTTTCTCAGATTTGATGCCTGTAAGCCTTTCATGCCGAGATTATCAACCGACAACCTGTGGTTTAAGCCCAGTTACAACTTTTTTTTTTTAACTCAGTGTTTTTCCAAGAAAATTTAATTAGTTCCCAGTATGAAAATAAATAGAGAAGAGAGAGGAACTCTGGCTTGCCTTTAAAAATTGGACCGATCCGTCCACAGACCTGAGTGTTTCTTTGTGGAAATGAATATTCTTTTAGGTTTAACATTCAAAGAGTTTAATATACATCTCAGGCAGCTGCCTAAGCCCAGTAAGTAGCCTGTGACTTTTAAACTTTTGGTTGATTGCCTGAGCCTTCGAAGATGGTCTTCCTTTGCAGGACTGAGCTGAAATGCTCCCAGCTAGTGTCAGGGCTGGTCAGGGAGGAGACCAAAGGTGTCTGTTCCCTGGATGTGGGGTTTTCAGCGCTAAAACGCAGCTGTGCCTGGAAAACCAGGATGAGCTGGGAGAGCTGGGAAGCAGTTAGCTCGGGCCCTTCACAAGCAGCCCAGGGCTCACACTGACCGTTGGGCCGATGTTAATTGCACCTTCTGGCCCAGGCTGCTTGGCCCCTTGAACTCCATCGTGCTCCTCGGCCTCTCCCACTTGTCCCCGCACCCAGGAGAGGCCAGCCTTCGGGGAAGCTTCAACTCCAGGACTGAAGTGCACTCTTTGGGAAGAAACCTCTGCTCTGCTTCGTTAGGAGGTGAGCATTTCTGCCCGGTGGCGCAGGGTGGGAACTTTCCTTTCTCTGAGCCTCATTTTCCTCTTCTGTGGGGTGTGGGTACAGATAGCGGGAGGACCCCTCCAACCTTGTTGTGAGGTGAATAGAATTATGGATGCAAAAGCCCTTTCAAAGGGCAGCTCTGCATAAAGTTAATTATTATCAGACAACAAAGGCAGGCAGGACTTCCAAGAAGGGCAGAGTTAAAACTCCACTGAAATTCTGCTGGAGAAGTCGGTTCCTTTAATCCTTTCCCCAAAGCACTGTGAGTTTTTCAAGCAGCCACCTGAGCCCCTGGGTGATGGACAGGTGATTTCCTGTTGGCAGAAAAGGGCCAGGGAGTGCTCCTCAGTGTAGGGTAGGTGTGGGGGCTGCACAGGGGCAGGGGTGTCTGTGAGGGGACTCAGAAAGGGGGAGCATGGCCAAAGGCAGAGGGGTCCCCAAGGATGCAGGGCACCCTCTACCCACAGATTTGCCCAGCTGTGCCACAGCCACATGGGATTTCTACCCTATCCCCACACCTCAGGAAATGGCCACCGCTTGCCCTGAGGCCTCCTGGTGGTTGTGCCAGAGAATCAATCATTAATTACCCTGTGCTCCTCCCCTCCCCTCAGGCTCTCAAAACCCAAAAATAGAAATACAGGTCCTGGCAGGTGAAAGGAAAGAGCCGCTGGTTGTGGAGAGCAGTTTGGAAAAAGCCACTGGTGGCATTTGTCCAGTGGCTTCGGGTGGGAGAGGTGTGTCCTTACCCACCTGCAGCCCCCTGGTGGCTGCCCCCTGGGCTGCTTTTGGGAGACCTGCTATCTCAGGACTTGAGCCAGAAGGAGCCTTACAGAGGGAGCACAGAGGAAGGTGACAAGGAGAGGAAACGGGTGCAGTGTGGAGAGGGGATAACATAGGTCAGTTGTTTTCCTAGTAATAATATTTTTTAAAAGTTACAAATAATGAGCCAGGCCCTTTTGCAACACATTTTGCAGATGAGAAAACAAAGCCCCAGGAAAGTGAGTGCCATGTCCTAGGTTCTCAGCTGGTGGGTGGATGACTCAGTGTCCTAACAAGCACTTACCTTGAGTGCTGGGAATTTTGCTCTCCCCAGCCTGGTTCCTCCCTCCCCAACACCTACCCCCTCCCTTCAGGAAGAAGGTTCTGGAACCCAGGGAGTGGCCAGGGTGAGGTCAGACCCCTGTGGCTAGAAAACTTTTCTGCTCCGGGAGAGGGGAGCGGTCACTCAGCAGGAATGCCCTCCCCTGGCCAGGCCCTTGCATCCACCCCAGAGCAGCAGGAGTCAGGCCCTAGGAGCCCTCCCAGGCTACCCCCACCCAGTGGGCCGCCCTCCTGATAGCTGTGCCAAGGAAAAAACCCAGGCACGGGGCTCCTCAGCAGGCCCAGGGCTGCTTTGTTGTCCGTGGCCTTGGAATGCCAGATGTTCCTGCTCTTGGCAGGAACCACAGAGCAGAGCCTGCCCTCCTCTGACTCCCAGGCAGTGCCCAGGGCCCTGAGGAAACAACCAGGACCCTGCTGGCTGGGGTGTGGGACTGGCTGCCTGCCCCGGAATAAAGTCTAGGCATCTGAGCCCCTGTGTCTGGAGGAGCAGCCCTGAGGGTTTAGGGCTTTGTGTCTGTTTCATCCTGAGTGTGGTACGGCCCCCCCCCCAGCTCCGCCCCCCAGGAGGATGGACACACACTCAGCTGAGGGGACTCTGAGCATGGTGCTTCCTTCAAGTAACAGCAGCTACCTGTACTATTATTAACTAAGTATTGCTACATGCTAGAAACTGTCGAGTGCCTTCTATATAGCCCCTTTATTTTCATGACACCCAGTGAAT